CAAAACAGAGAGAAACGATTCTTCAGGTGCATAATTTTTCAAAGAGCCAGATTTAGCTTAATGTGAGGAATGGGATTCTTTCTGGTAATGTTAACAAAATAAGAAAAAAATGCAAACATTTTTTTCTCCAACCTGACAAGTCTGATCAGCATTTGCCAGTGTCAGTGGAAACAAGTCTTCTGTCTTTGCTAAATGCTGAACCTGTCTCATGATGCATACAAATATACCCCAAATGATGGGCAAGTCCTGGCATTTATATCTGTGGTAAGGTCTTGTTGGGAATCAAAACCAATTTTAGGAAACATGTTTCCATGCATGAGGTAACATATGTAGGAGTGAATCATTGGCAGGTGGTGTTTCAGATTTTTCTTACAACTTAAAAGTTCACAAATGGAACTAGACTCCAACATAGACAATGTTTTCTCAGATATCGTGTGGAAATTGTGCACAGAATAGTTTGTTTCCTTTAAAGATAAATGTGGAAGGCCTTTGTGGTTGCACAATCCCACATTTTAAGGAGATTATTTTAGCGGCTTTTGAAGCACAGCTTTAAAAATATGCTTCAAAACCTGGGAAAACCCAATACCCAAAGCAATCCAGTTATGGGTTGGACTGTTACTCTGCCTAACGCTCGTGATGTATAAGCAAACTGCAAGCAGCAGGTCAATGTAATTTGTGTCTCTTCTAAAATCCTGTTATACTCCCTCAACTGTCTATAATGGCATTAAGGTGTGTGCAAATCTAATCTGCAGTATTTGCAAATGATGGCCAAAGGAAAGCTGTGTTTGTATTTTTCCTGCCTGAACAACTTTTCTGGCTTTGCTTTTTTTCTTTTGTGGATTTGGAGCATGACACAAGGATCACACAGTTTTGTTTCGTTCGTTTGAATGAGTCCAATGAAACAGCCCTCAGGTTGCTATTCAAATTAGACGTGTGCAGGAGGCTGGAGTGGATCTTCGTAATTGGTTGCGTGTGTGCCATGAACAAAATGCCCACATAGTACATACAATATTTGTGAATATATGGATTTATAGGAAGCAACATGTACCATGGTGTACAACTTGCAAAAGTTCTGTAGTTTAGGTTTGTCACAGAAAAATTCCTCAAATATTATCCAAATTAGCTGAACTGCTAGTGTTTGGGGAAAAAAATAAAATGCAAGCACTGAACTCAAATGCATCAGTGCTTCAAGTTTCTACTTGATTTTGGGCTAGGTGAAGCCAGTGACAATTTTTAGTTGATTTTTATGATCGTTGGGTGAGAGAAACAGACTTACTGGAATGCTCTGGTAGGGCTGTGCATTAAAAGGCAAACAATGATGGCAGTAGAATTGTACAAATATTCCATGTGGTAAAGAAAATCAGTAAATGCCTGGATGAATTGGTTATTCACAGTAGTTTTTGGGTTTCTTTAATGTGCTTTGAAGTATGACAGGTTGGAATTAGCTTTTTCCAAGGATGGCATACATACACTCCTGAAGAAAGAGTCCCTGTATTTAGTGTAGCCAAGTGCATCTCCTTATAAATGTTTTGCTTTTGTCTATAGGAAGCAGTAGATGCAAATGTTTTTGGAATAATCAGAGCATTATCCCACAGTATTTGTCTACTGTAAAATCATACCATTGGAGATGAAAGTGAGAAAGATAGGCAGGGCAATGTAGAATCCTATTCTGTTCCAAATGACAGTTTGCCAGTCTTGAATTTTGTCCACTGTCTTAGCCTCTACCCCATATTCATATAAGTATCTAATAAATAATTGTAAATATATGGAGAGATTTATTTTTATCCAATGTAGATTCTATATCTCCCTTCTCTCTGGGATTAAACCTCCCTTTGTTCCACCAGTGAAGAGTTAGAGCTTTTTACACAGAACTTCCTTAAACTTGTATGTGAATTGGATAAAACCCTACCTGGTAAGAGGCAGCTCTCAAACCATTTTCAGTAGCCATCTTCTTACTTGCTAACTCTCCTTGGAACACTGGCCTTAGACACGCCTCTCCTGCTGCCTCCTCCAACACCAGTACTGGAAGGAGCATAACATCTGACCTCACTCCAAGTGCACTGGCCATGTTTTTGAGATGTGTCTAAACTTCAGAAGACAATATGTATTGATTGTTCTCTTAGGTGAGTCCCAGGCCTTTTATACAGCCAAGGCTTTCTGAATCCATTGGTTTGTGTCCTCGTTGCACATAGCTAGGGAACATGTCCTTGTATGCATTTCCTGACTGGCAAAATATAAGGTTCATCTCCAGCAAGAGAGACGAGTTCCCTGCGGGGCTCTCAGAAGCACTGGTTCCACTGGTGGTTTGCTGGGGGGATCTGCACGTTTTTATGAGCCAAATTTATGTCTGAAACAATTAGGCACAACTCCATGGCTTTTAGCAAACTCACACCGCTGTGTGCTAGTGTTGAAGGCAGCATTGCTTCTTGTGTTTAATGCATTGAAACTACAAGAACTCCTTGGTCCTTCATGAACACCCCACTTGTGCATGCCTCTAGTGTCTGACCAGAAAAGCAAGAAAAGGAACTCTACCTTGCTAGATGGTCATTGTAGGTCCCTTCCAACTATTTCTATCTCTATCTATTTCTATTTCTATTTCTATTTCTATTTCTATTTCTATTTCTATTTCTATTTCTATTTCCTATTCTATTCTATTCTATTCTATTCTATTCTATTCTATTCTATTCTATTCTATTCTATTCTATTCTATTCTATTCTATTCTATTCTATTCTATTCTATTCTATTCTATTCTATTCTATTCTATTCTATTCTATTCTGTAGTAATTATAAGTCAATTTACCCCAGTTCTAAATAGGTTCAGTTGTTAGGCCCAAAAGTTATATGTAAGCATACCTTTCAAAGCCCATCTTAAAGTTTTTTCAGCTTTTGCCATGTAAGTTCCTGTAAACTCACAGGTGGATATAAAGCACAAACTCAGTTCTTAATAGAATTTGTTGTGTTGGAGACAAATCAGATGAGTAATAAAGAGGCTTTTAGGAGAAGATTTTCCTATTTGTGGGTTTTATGATATTTTTATTCTCTCAGTTACTTCTCAGTCAAGAGCTCTAGTGTTTTGGGAGGAAAGAGTGCAAATTTGTGCAGGGCTTCTGAGGGGCAAAAAGGTGTGACACGAAGTTGAGAATAATTTAAGAAAATACAAGCTAATTGTTTAATGAATGAATGTTTACAGGTGGTTAGAAGTGAATCGTGGATAATACTGTAATATCTGGCAGCTTTTTTAAAAATGATTAGATCATACTGCGCAAGGCATTAATTTAAAACTAGCTTTTCTGAAGGATGATGAATCCCTTTCTCAGATGCATGACATACACCTGGTCTTGTATCTAAGTGTGGATGCAGCATACAGTTGCCTTGCTTTGTGCAGGGGACAGTCATATTTTTCTCATTGCCTTGTATCTGCCTTTACCTGGCTCTCCAGACACATAAATCAGTTGTTCAAAATGGCAGGGTGCTGGGGATAGGGAGGAGACTTATTTCATAAGATAGTCATATGTATTGAAGGAGATCCTTCTGGCTCATCCTATCAGTGATGTTGATGGTACAAAATTGCAAAATGATTAACGCATGTTTTGATGGAATTAAACGTATTTCAAGTATAACAAAGGCTTGCCAGATAAACTATTACACTCTAGAAATCTGCTGCTTTTAAAATAAGAAATGTTTTTTGAAAGAGTTCCATGTAGTATTGCTTCCATTTCCCCACATTCAAAAAAGGAATATCACTTGATTTCTGTTGAGTAAAAACAAACATGTACAGCTAACAAATACTGTTATACCTCACCTACCTAATAATCTGTACACTCAGCATTTAGTTTTTCTTATGTGGATCCCAGGATGCAAAAACCCTTCTGTCTTGCAAGTCCACACTCATCCTACTAGTTCTTTTTACTTTTTTTGTTGTGGTAGTGTGTGAAAAAGAATTGCCTTCGACCAACTTATTCTCTCTTCAGTTAGAAAATAAAAGGTAAAGGAACAGAGCAGGAGTAGAGAGTAAATGGGAACCAGGGTTCCAGCAACAAGTGATGTAGAAAGCCATCCCATCAGTGCCTGTGTGATGTGCATCTCGGCAGCAGAAGAGACGTTCTTCCAAGTGTTACAACCCTAAGGCAGAAAGTAATCTCTTGCAGCCGAAACTGCTGCTGAATGTGCCTCTGTCCTCCAGATGCCTTGATGCCACCTTCTATTCAGGTCTGATGCATGGAGGTGCAACAGCTAAACGGGTAATTTGTTCTCCTACTTGGAGGCACCCGGCTTTAGTCAACTTTATTTCTAGGCACAGATTTTGTTTTGCTGTTTGTTTGCTTGTATTTAAGTTGTCAGATTTTTGCTCTGGAACTCATTAGCTGTTAGGAATGAAACAATACAGGGGTTGCCTTGCAAGAGAGAGGGCTGGTGAAGTCTGCTCTGTTCTCTGGTCATAGCACAGAATAGAGAGGTGTATGGTAACCAGTTTCCAGTCTGTCATCTTTCTGAAAAGCTAAAAGTCTGCGAATATTAAGGTGAACAAGTTTTACTTTGGTTGTAGAGGTGCATCCCAAATGAAATAACATTCTCATTCTTCCTACTTTGGTCCAGTAATTAGTGCATGGACAGCAGCAATGTAGAATGGCCAAACACACACCATTGCTTAAAAATAGGTATCCAATGGCATTTAACTACATCAGGATTATGTGCATGGGGCTGGCAGATATGGCCCAGGATCTGTGGTAAAACCCTTCCAAAGTGTCAGCAGGAGACATGGGGAATACACAAGGTCATGTTGCATGACACTGCATTTATATTTAACTTCACTGCTGCCATGCTTGTGTTAAGAATATGCTATAATATGAAGTACTTTAAGTGTCTTAACTCCTAACAGAAGCCTGGCCCAAGTGAAGTTGAAAATATTTATATAGTCTCTAAATATGTCTTTAAATGGAAATCTGTGCACATATATATGTTTATATTCTTCATTTGTGGCTGCCTTTTTGTTTTCCAGTCCATAATCTTCATTCGTGACCTAAATTCTCATCGCCAGGAGGTATCTGCATATATCGACTATGCACACAGACTGACAACAGATGATTTTGAAGTCTACTTCAGTGGAAAGAAAAGAATTCTCCCTCAGAACACTGATCTGAGGTATTTATTCTGACTTTTTTTTCCATTTATTTGCATTTAGGAAATATATAGAGAAAGATTTTAATGTTTTTGATCCTAAAGATAGCTTAAGACTGTTTTTCACTGAAAGGCAAACATCATGCATCAGAATTAGTTGTGGAGAACAACTTTAAGAAGGGTATCTCTCAGATTTATTTAGTCCAGAGCATAAAACTTAACCAGGACGTTACAACCTTCACCTGTCTGCATTGCTCATTACCATGAGGAGTCTGTAAAGAGCAACATGCTTTGATCGGTAAGAGCTCACTTCTGGAGATGCCACAGGCCACATAGCTGCAGGCAGCAATTGCCAGAACATCTCTAGCTTTGCCTGCTCTCCACAGAGTCCACTGGATGATGTTTTGCTTTGAAAGTGGGCTGCCTGAAGAGGTCTTCTGGTGGCAAGTAAGATGGTGTGTTATCTGTGACTGACAAGAGGTATCATCAGTGAGCTTTTTCACTGAAGAATGTGTTTTCCTTAAAATATGTCCTGTGACTGAGAGCCCAGAGATATACGTGTGACAGATGTCTTGTGTACTTCTGCTGGTGACAGACAAGTTGAAGAGACTTGGTGCAGCAAAGCTTGGGACGTGGGGCTGGGGCCTGGGACCGTGCTTAGAACTGAAACAGTGTGTGATATGGCAGGCAGGTGCTGTTGGATATGGGGAAGAGATGGTAAAAATGTCAGTGGGCTGGCGTTGTGAATCATTATGGAAGTCTTCTCTTCCCACATGTTAGAAGGTAAGAGCTGTCAACAACTGGCTGCAATGTCATGTGTAGTTACTGTGTCCTGGTGAAAAAGTGTCCAGTACAAATGAGTTAATGCATTTTCTCTGTTTTCTGAGAACAGTTTTCTGTAATGCAAATTGCTGCAAATACAGTTCAAAGTCTGGTATGTGTTACAGAGGGAGAAAGCAGGAATGAGTGTTGGAGGGCACAAGTGGGCCAGTGAAGGTTTTGTGTTCTTCGTTCTCAGGACAGCAGATGTCAGTAATGAGGCAGAGATACTGAAATCTCAGCTCTACCTGTGATAGGAAGCAAAAATCTTGATTTTATGCTTTTAAATCACAGGGATGAACAGGCAGTTGCTATTTATGACTGAATTAAGAACAGGAGTGAATATAAAATTGTGTCTGGTTTGCATATGATGTCCTTGCTACAATTAGGATTTTATTAATACTCATAAGTAAGTCTTTTAAAATAACTGCTGTCATATTCAATAAGAAGTGTCACAGTTGTATCCCAGTAGTTATGCTTAGTCCTGGCTATTCTGAGTTGAAAAAGTTTCATTTAATATATACTTCAACCTCTTTATCCTTCCCTTGTGTCAAAACTAGGGTACACTGGAAACTTCATGGATAGCTCAGTGTGTTCATTCCTTCTAGTGGTTGAATATAGCTTCAGGTGATATTTAACATCTTTGTTAAAAATAAAAATAAAAAATTGTGGTGGAGATAGAGCATATATATGGGTTTTTATAACTAGGATGTAAAATATGCAGAAGTGCATTTGAACTTTCCAGCTGAACATAAAGGGGAGTTAAGATAAAGCATATTCAATGCCAGGAAGGCTAGTTTGTTTTCTTTATATATAGGTATGAATGTGTGTGCTGTAGTTAATGAGATTTGTATACAGATATATAAATATATATAACTATACCTACATATAATGAAGTCTTAGTACATTCTACACTGGCTAAAGAAAAAGCCTTCATTTTATGGTTTAATGATGTGGTTCTTGATGCATCATGTGTACAAACTGGCTGTTTGTAAAAGCCCTATCATGCCACAGAAAATCTAACTGCATTTATGTATCTCATGGTGTGCTGGTTTTGTCCGGTATAGAGTTAATTTTCTTCATAGTAGCTGATATGGTGCAGTGTGTTGGATTTGTGCTGAAAGGAGTGCTGATAACGGAGTGATGCTATTGTTATCACTGAACAGTGCTTGCACAGCGTCAAGGCCTTTTCTGCTCCTCACCCCACCCCACCCCACCAGCAAGTAGGTTGGGGGTGCATAGGAAGTTGGGAGGGGACACACAGCTGGGACAGCTGATCCAAACTGATACAAGGGATATCCCATACTATATGACAACATGCTCAGCATATAAAGCTGGAGGAAAAAGGAGGAAGGGGGTGACGTTTGGAGTAATGGTGTTTGTCTTCCCAAGTAACCATTACACATGATGGAGCCCTGCTTTCCTGGAGATGGTTGAACAACTCCCTGTCCAAGGGAAATGGTGAATTAATTCCTTGTTTTGTTTCACTTGGGTGGATGGGTTTTGCTTTACCTGTTAAACTGTCTTTATGTCAATGGATGAGTTTTCTTACTTTTACTGATTCTCTCCCTCATCCCACAGCAGTGGGGGAATAAGCGAGTTGCTGTGTGGGGCTTAGCTGCTGCCTGGAACCATGGCACGTGGTCCACTGGAGTTGTCAAGCACACCATTTTGTATCAGTTAGGTGTCTTCAGAGCAGCACGTTTCATTCCCACCATGCCTGCCATGTTATTGGACAGTTGGAGGACAGGTATGAAGAAGCCCCAGAAGAAAGGCTTGGCTAGTACTGTACTGATCTAAAGATTCTTGTTGGCAGAGAACTTCCCCTGTCCCCTGAAAACCTTTTTACTGAGTAGATAAAAACATCCTGTTGAGTTTTAAATTTGAACTTCACCTGGTGGATCTTGTATCTGTAGTTGCATGCCAGGTTAAATACAGCTTTAGGATTAAACAAGTTGTAATTACATAGGCTGTCATCAAAACTGTTTTCAGCCATTCTTTAGTAATTTAAAAAGAATTATTTTACAGGTAAGTTTACGTTTAATAGTTCTCTCTCATCTTGGTAGTCTTACTCCTCTGCCTCTTTGCTTTCTGCCCAGCTTCTTCAAAATGTGTCAAGAGTGCTGTTTGTGAATGGGGATAATCTGACTGTATGAATGATTTTGTGACTTCAGCTTTGAATCCCTTGTCAAGCTCTGAATCTAAATCTTTTCAACACTTTTTTATCCCCTGGATACTTATGCATTTTTTCAGGTATAAAAATGTCCAACTATAGACAGCATGTTTACTTTTCAGGCTGAAAGACTGGGTGAGTGTTTCTGTCAAAAGTGGTTGTTCCTAGAAGTAATTATTTCAGTCTAAATTGTTCCAAAATGCTGCCACCTTAATGAGAAAGTCAGTTTGGGAAATTGCTTCACTCAGAGCTTTGTGAAGCCCTTGCTTTTGGTCATACTTACTCTTAGTCACTTGGGAGATTGTAAATCTTGGATTTTGCAGGAGAGGTTAGTATCTTGTGCAGAGCTATGATATTATCTTTTAAGTATAGAAATCCATACTTTGCTGCAACACATTTTTTCCTTAGCTGTTTGAGGCTGTCAGAAGATATTAAATTTGGTCTGAAGTACTCTCTGTATCAGATTCTTGTTCACAATACAAAGTAAAAATATTGAACAATGAAGTTTATGTGATATTCATACTTTAAATCCGGTGGGTAGTATCAGAGGCTCTTGTATTTGATCTATGTGGTTCCTCTGAGTATTTTTGCCATTTTATTGCATTGCCCTATCGAGGGAGTATTATTTATATGATATAATCCTCATTTGGTTCCAGTTTATTAAATGAAAGGAATGTGTTAGGCAGTCAGTTCTTAAAGAGGTCTGGAATCTGGACTGTAATTGAATCCATTCCCTCTCAGCTAATTTATGTAATCTGATGAGAAACAAGTGTAATACAATTTGTTCAAAGAAAATGGAGAATGTTTACTCTATGGAACCATACCAAAAAAGATCTCTGCATAGCAAAAGACAAAGTTTGAGCTGCCTTCTGTCTGATCAGCTGTACTTTGAGGTCCTCACCTCCTAGCGAAGGAAGATGAAGTGAACGTTTTGCAGTAGAATTGTACTGTTTCAATTTTGTGTGAATTCCTGCCCTGATTTTTCATTAGTTTTCTGTGGCAGCCTGCTAGATACGGTATTTTTGATACTGTACACTGTGGTGTTTTATTCTCACACTTGGCTTGTAGTTGCAGTGTTTTCATTTCTTCTTACTAGTGTGCGCATTCTTTTCTAAGGAAAAGGAGCCATTTACTGTAGAACACAGGTCCCAGATTTTCCGCCGAACTAATGGTCTGAAATCATTTACTTATCTCATCAGCAGTGAAACTCATTTGGTTTCGGCCCCAGCATGTGTCAGTTTGAGCATGGGAGGTCCAACATTCAGGGCTTTGTGGTGATGCACCTCGTCTGTGATAGAAGTGCATCATGACACACAGGTACTTTCAGATATGGCATGTTGTTCTTTGCTGTTGGCAAGAACAATCCTATCAACTTCTGCCCTTCTCCTCTTATAGTTCAACTGTGGTCTGTTGTGGCTGCAAGTGGGTGCAGCATTTGGCAGTCATTCATTAACTGGGGTTGGAATTCCCTCCCGTTTTATTGTCAGGTATATTCTAAGATACCATCTGTTAATCTGTAAAGACCTGTAGGCCAGCAATATGTTCCTAAGTGTGGGGCATGAGGCAACTTCTCCCTTCCCTGCTGTACCCTGTACCCTGCAGATTTGAGAGCAATTTACAGAAGAGAACTTCTCTACCTTGCTTATCCATGGGAGAGCTGAGAAAGAAGCAGTTGCATTTTCACACTCAGTGGCACAGGCAGTCCTACTGTGCCAGGAAGAAGATGTGCAGAGAACGCCTCCTCCCTCAAGGAGCAGGCTGTGGGAGCTGAACCAAATTCCAGCTGCACCCCAGCTGCGCCCCAGGAGCAGCGAGGCAGCAGTGACCCACATGCAGGGGTTGTGGTAATCCCAGAATGCAGCCTGAAGCCTCTGGAAACCATTTCTCCCCAGCCAGGGCATGCTCTGTGGCTGCCTGTAAATTGATTACAGCAGCTAGAGGTAGGAGAAAGTCACCTGTAACGGGCAGCATGAGCATGTACTTGGTGATGTGTGTTACTGTGGATTTCCTTCCAGCCTTCAGAGAGCAGGAT